TAAAAAAAAACTCAAATGTTTTTATGAATTTATAGTTGAAACATTTAGTAAAAATCAATTGAGTTAACCATATGTTTTTTAAAATATGAAAAGAAAAAGAATATTTTCTATATTATTTTTAAGATCTATAATATTTTATGAAATATGAAAGGTTTCTTTCTTATTTTGTAGCTAAAAAAAAATAAATCTTACATTCAATCCAACTTTTTTTAACCACACATTAAAGTTAAAAAATTATCTTAATATTTTTATTTATCAACCTATTACGAAGACTAACGTTCAACAAATAGTATCACGAAATCGCAAATATTTCTCTATGATGTACAAAAATCAAAATATATATAAATTCACGAGACGGAGATAAATAACAAAAATAAATGAAAGTCATCATACTATAAAGATAGAGTAAAAATTGACTGATAAATTTTGTCTTCTAAGTCATAATTGGTTTTTGATAACATGATTTATATAATAGTCATATATATACGTAACAAAGTTAAAAAAAAAAATGGTAAATATCGATATCGAAATCATTGATAATCACTTCATATATTTAACCATTATTAATACTAAATCACAAAATTAAGTTATTTTATTTAAAATCAAATATTATTTTGTATCTACAAAGTATTGGTTGTTTTATCATACATAAGTACTAAACTACAAATAAATACATAAAAATTATTAAATTTAATAAAATTATAAAACAAAAACTCGCGCGAATCATATTCTAGTAGAAAAAAATGAAGTATGCAGTGTTGAAAACTGTTAATTGATGACTTAAACCATCCACAAAATATCAATTAACAAATCCGATTCGTTGACAAAAAAAAGAAACCTTAGATTCATTTATCACTCGATTCGAATCTCAAAAGTTAGATGTACAATTTTTGAACAATATAGATATAAAAAAATTTAGATGAGAGAAGTTTAACAAGTTGTATAACATATGTGGTTTGCCTAGACATCTCGTAAAAAACGGTATCCTGAAATTCATTATCACCCATAAGTTACACCGAAAAAATTACAACAACAAACATGAAACCCATGACCCCAAATAATACTTTCCAAAACTATTTGATGTTACTACATAAAGTATACAATATTAAAATAACACTTAGTAATGACTAAGTTTTATTAATATTAAACTTAATATTTTCCATAACAAGAAAAGAGTAAACAGTTTTACGATAATTCAAATTTAATTTTTTTTCCTTCTCAATATGTAATCCAAAAAAAAAAAAGAGAAGACTATTTCAATTTTTTTGTTTGGACTAACATGTAACCGCTACCTATACAATTCATAAAATTTTACATTCATCAACCACCAATTCAAGAGGGCAACAAAACTATATATGTTATCCTAAGATATTCATTCATAAACTCCACTAAATTCAGACCAAAGCCTTTGATCAAACTCGTCTTGAAGATCATCACGTATAAAGTGCTTACGACAAAGAGGACACGTCATCTGATTATAACCCATCAACCAACGGTCCAAACATCCTCGGTGATAGATATGCCGGCAAATCGTCAACCGTCGGATCTCATCATCGGTTTCGAAATCGTAAAGACACACTGCACAAATATTCGGATTTTCGGGTCGGTCTAGATCCGAGAATCGAACAATGGGCAACATCTCTCCGACTACCACCGCTGCTGGGTCCGGGTGGGTTAAGAATGAGATTGATGATGAATCGTGCCATGTGGATGAACCTGGATCGGGTTATGAGAAATATGATAAACCCAAAACCCGGAAAATTACGAAGAAACGTTTTCGGATCAAACCTAAGGAAAAGAGAAAATGAAATAAGATTTTTGGGAGAAGGAGCTTGGAATAGCCTACCGCAGTGGCGGAGGTAACGTTTGGGGAGGGTGATCACTTGATCCATATGAATTTCTATTAAAAAAATTTCTATTGATCCCGGTGACATTTGCTCAAAATTNATTTTTTTTTAATGTTGACCCCGGTGAAAACTGTGGCTGGCTCCGCCACTGGCCTACCGGAAAACCCATTGCCTTGCCGCTACGGAGAGAGATATAGAGAATTTTGATTGTGATGATGAAATGGAGAAAAGTGGGATTTATATGAGAAATGCATGATGTAGTTGGAAGAAATAGAAATCCATCTATTTAAATTTTTTGACCAACGATTATTTCTTGCCATTTGACAAAGTCACACATTAATTAATGTGTTGTATATATGTAATAGTCAATACGAGTAGTTTGTTTTTGTCGTGCTTCTCTTTGGTGTCTGTTTTAATCCGCAACTCTGAGACTTGTTCTTTGTTTATAATAACTTCGTTGTTTCAATCTGCCATTCCACTTTAAGAATTGATCTTTGCTTATAAGCCAAGTCACATTGGTGAAAAGTCAAACACTTTAGGAAAGTTACATGTGTTAGAAATTATGAATTTATCAAGCGCTCTATAATTTGATGTCCTGAAAAGAAAAGAAAAACGTTTATTGACGGGAAAAAAACTGAAATCAGTGTATTTTGATCAAAAGAAAAAGAGATTTATCAAAGAATTAATGCAAATACGTACGATAAATAATCTGTATCGTTATTCGTCAGGTTTATTTATTTCATTTTGTCTGTGCTACTAGTTCCTCAAATTAATAAATGTCGGATTACGAAGAAAGCATTTAGATTATTTTTTTCCCAACATTTAGATTCCGAATTTAACTAGCATTTGTATCTCTTTTGGCTTTCTTCCCAAAAACATTAAATATGGAAACAAACGACATCAAAATTTACATACATACATACATAAGAAAGCAAGAAATTGGATTACATGCTTGTGGATCTATTAAAAACATTATTATATGGAAATGGATTAAAATTTGGGAGATAAGAAAACGTGGGATAAGGCAGGCAGTAAAAGTCGGAACGAGTCGGTCGATTGGACCGCAGCACTATTTGAATGGACCAAAGCGATCGAATTATGTAATGTTGTCACGCAATCCCAATTGCATAAGGAATGTAGGCATGTAGCTTTACCAACTCCACGAAACTACTTACTACCACCAGTTCACATAACAGTATTGAATGTATTTTGTTATAGCCAATTCAAAAGGCATTACTATAGCATTTTTTGTGATGGTTCGAACACTCCACAACAATACCAAACAGGCAAGCACCCATTTCCTCTCTTTCAATTGTTTTTTTTTTTTGGGGCTATAATATGTATTATTGTGAGATTAGATCGCTCATATAAATGATGAGAAAACAATATAGAAGGGGTTGTTTGTGTTTAAATGAGCAAAACCGTATTGATTGATGAAAAAAAAAGGAATGAGCGGAGTAAATATGTATTTGTAGCCCAACATATTCATCTGAAATTTATGACATTGCAGTCCATATTTACGTTCCATATTCTAATATTGCTTCCACATCCACCATGAGAATCTGCATAACCTCTCTCTATCGCTCTCTCTACATGTGTATTTTGTAAATGTGTATAACATCGTGTGTATAAGGAATGTAACATAGATTCAGTTACCTTATATATACACATGTAAGCTTATATACTTATGTGTTTATGGACATTAAAGACACGTACATACTCCTTAATTATGATCAATATTTTTCTTTCACCCACTCATCTGATAAGTTATGCAAACAAATTATATAATCGAAAATATTCCTCTTCCCGTTTCAATTTACATTTCGTTTAACAATTTCAAATGATAAGAAAATTAGATATTTTGTTGCACACAAAAATGAAATAATAAATAGATATTCGTTTACACTCTTACAAAATACAAAATTAGGTTAAACCTTTGAAATTTCTATATTATTTTACATTTGATTAATTTAAGCTGGACACAAATTAACAAACAAAAGAATTCGCTTTATAGATTAAACACAAAATGTTAAAGAATAAAAAAAAAATAATTGTAGAATTAAACAAAATATTTTAATAATCAAAGGACTAGCTAATGGAGGACGTGGAGAATTAATTAAGTGGGATTGACGTACATTGTAGAACGCACCCTCATGTCGCATCTATACATGTCGCTCTTCTAAACATAAATATTTATACTCATCTAGTCATCTTCTCTGATTCAATCACATGTCAATTATGGCATATATCAATTAGCAACAAACAAATTAAATAATACACTTTTGAAAATCATTAAATGCATGGGATGGGCATGGCAGACCAGAGTCGCCGCAACTGAAACTATATATGTAACCACATTTGTAATAAATTTTTCTATTGGTTAGAAAAAGACACAAAAGATGATATAAAGATGAGAAACATTATCTCCGGATTCTAAGGTTACGTGTTACACAAACAAGAAACAAACACATTAATGAAACAACGATTCAGACAAAAAGAGCTATATTGTGCTCCTTATAACATTTTAAAATAATACACAACACACACATTCCTCACAAATATCATTATATAATAAGAAGATGGTATTATTATTTAAATTAAATTTCCATTTAAAAACCCTAAAATTGCAACAACTTTGAGTATCCATGAGAAGTATAATGAGAAGCATAAACATGACACTTTTCATTCTCCTAAGTTTTGCCCACTTTCTAGCAAACTTTATATAATATGATCCAACAATTAACGTTTTAAAAAACCCTAATTCTATTCTAAGAATCCGAAAGAGTTATGTTGCTTTTTTATGTCAGAATTTCATCATGATCTTGGGTTTGGAAAGAATTGTGTACCGGCCATGAAAGTGTTGATCGGAGTTGGATAAAGAGTGGCTGGATCAAGATACGTGGTCGCCGCAACGGCGGAGGAGCTGCCAATACCACCGACGTTTGGAGTAGAGGAAGAGGCCGTAGCAACAGTCACAGAGCCAGCTGTTATGAGATTGAGCTGCTGAGCTCCACCAGAAGAGCTCTCACCGGCGGTGATAACGTTGTAGCCGGCGCTGCTACTTCCAGAGCCGTGGTCGTAAAGAATGCCTTTAAAAATGTGACCACCGATGCTTACGGCTGTTTGGTAAGCAAACTCTTCTTCTCCATCTTCCACTGAGCTCACACGCACGCATCTAAACACTGCCGGTGAACTCACCTCCGCCGGGAAATTCCCAACCTCTAGCCCTAGATTTTTCAAGAACAAAAAAAGAGAGTAACAATTAAAAAAAAAATTGAGAGGTAATGACATGTTTGAGTATATATAGATGAAAACATTAATATTCTTTTTTTCTTCGGATATAAAGAAAGTAGCAGGGAATAAGAGAAAGAACACAGATTTCAAGATCGGTGAGAAACAGCTTGTTTCTGTCAATCTAGTAATAGTCAGTGTTGACTCCAACACAGTACTTTCACAACTAAATCACATAACAAAACAAAAAAGCAAAATTTTCTAAAAAATAATCAACAAAAATAGGGTTTTCTTGCTCATCAAAACTGATCCCAATCGTTATTAAAAAAAAAAAAAAATTTAAAATGCTGCCTGCATTTCATTATTTCAAGACCTTAAAATAAAATTAATGTATAAACATTTTATACCTGAAGCGTTGTGAGTAGGTATGCGAGTGCAGACAAGAGCCGACGAGGTGGCCGGCAAATTCTCCCGTTGGCGTTTCGTAACGCTTTCACCGCGCGGCTGGTGCGTTTGAGGCTGGCCCGTGGCTAGCTGATGTTGTCTCTCACGGCGTTTAGCGGCAGGAACCCATGTGCTCCTCACGTGAGTAGTACACTCGAAGCCACGGCTCTTGCAGCAAGTTCGACACCTCATGTGAGCACAATCTTTCTTCGCTTGATTCCCACAGTCTTGACAGCTCACACCGCCGCTTCCTCCTCCGCTGCTGCTACTCCTCATCATCATCAACGCCGCAGCTCTTCCGGCGCCGCCGGTTGATGTTTCGCCGGAGATATCGAATTGGCTATGGTTGCTTGGTCCGACGCCTAAACCTGCGGCTGAGGAGTAAAGGTCCAGCCT